TTCTTTCTTGTCTCTTGGCAGCACCATCAGCACCAGGCCGCCCAGGCTCTCCATTTGGCCAGTCCACAGCAGCAGTCAGCCATTTACCACGCGGGGCTCGCACCAACCCCACCTGCCATGACCCCTGCCTCCAATACGCAGTCTCCACAGAATAGTTTCCCAGCAGCACAACAGACCGTCTTTACAATCCATCCTTCTCATGTTCAGCCGGCATACACCAATCCTCCCCACATGGCCCACGTACCTCAGGTAAACCAGCTTTAGCCAACTTTCTGTGAAGACCGAGTAGAATATGAAAGTTGTCAGATAAGCAGCAAAGAGCAGATGCTCTGCAAGCTAGGAAACCCTGTGTGTGATGCCATTTGCCTGTCTCCCTTTTCCCACTCAAATACATGTGATCTGGCCCTAAATGAATGTTGGTGTGGTTTTGTAATGGGGTCAGTAAAGTTGCTGATTGGTCAGTCCTTTAATGTTTCCCATCTGAGACCTTAAAAATACCTCTGATTTTGGAATGCAACCCGATCCTTTCCTTTCCTGTGTCTGCTTCGCTATGTTTATATAGCTTCACTGCTATATGTGTATACATAGTATATATATTCTTTCTCTTCCTCCCTCCCTCCCTTCCTCCCTTCCTCCTCCTCTCTGTCTCTCTCTGTCTCTCTCCCTCCTACTCCCCGCCTCCCCCCAATCCCTCTCTCATACACACACACACACACACACACACAAATCTGGCAGGGAGGTTGGGCTTCACAAATTCTCCGCTCTCTGAGGTGACTGCCCTGAGCCTGTCAGCTTGAATGTTAGTCACACGAGTTCCAGAGAAATCTCTCCACTTGATTTCCTTGCCTATCGGTACACCCGCTTTGACCATATGTTGTACTTCTTGGAAGGGCTTGGCCTTGTACATTGGTGCAGTGTAACTAGAAGCTGGAAGCACTCAGGCGTTCCCATTTTTCTTAAAGAGCAGCCTGGGAGGCTCTTTGGAGCTCAGCTCCAGCGTAAGCCTCTAATGGTTGGAAGGTGTGGTTGACATCTTAGTGGTTGCTGGCTGCGTCAGCTGCTGACAAAGTCCAGTGCAGTCCAGGGCCAAGTTAGATTATCTTAACAAGGAGCTGCACTGAAGTTGGGCTCTAACACGGTCCTTGAGGCCCTCCCTGGAGCTGTTAAGGGTGAATCGGCTGTATTTGATGGCTCTTTTTGCTGCTTTCATAACAGAACTCTCTTAGGCAGGTGTAAGCTAGACTGCTCACTGAACTCCCTTTCATGTTGAATAGGGCGCCACTGAGGCTCTGGCATGCTGGGGGCTGGAGATGCAACTCAGTTGGAGCTCTCTCTCAGAAGGCAACCTTGTAACTAGAGTTCCACAGCTCTGGGAAGTTTGGGTGTCCTCCTCTGCACAAGTGAGGGTTCTGTAGTGTGGCGCACTGCACTTGGATGATTTGCTTTTGATAGTGGGGAGGGGAGCCGGTTTGGTCAGGTGTGGGCCATCATGGTTTGGCTGAATCAGGAGCTTCATGAGAGCGGGGGTCCTGTAGGTGGTTAGCAGAGGTTGGTGGCTAAGTAGATATGTGAATTTACATGTAAGTCAGGGTTCCTAAAACCTCACTTTTGTGTTTTTGTGTTGAAAGAGAAAAAGGTTAACACTTCTAGGGAAGTCCAGATATGCTATGGGCCCATTTGAATATGTAAGAGAGTAAAAACAGCATTTCATTCAAGGCTTATTGTGGTCTAGAACAGTGCACAGTATGGGAGGCAGGAAAGGGGGTCTCCTCCTGACCCTGCCATATCCCCCTGAGCTGGGATCCAGCGATTTGGGCTGGCTAAACCTTTTCCAACTTGACAGTGAGACCAGGTTGCACTCACTATCACTTGGTTTAGGGGCACGGGGCTGGCCCAGATAATTGCACATTACTCCTCCCCATTTCATTGGAGCTATTTACTGCAGCCCACTCCTCCTGCTCAGTCAGCGTATCTCTTAGAGTAAAGGGGCCCGACTGTCTCTTCTCTCGCTGCCCCGACTCATTCTTCACAGAGATGTGCTGGTGAGCAGACAAAAAAACAGAGGGGAGGGGCAAAGAACGAGAGGGCTAAGGAATCCATAGATTATTGTCATCACCTGCTTTCGTGATTAAAAGGGAGTTTATCTTTAAAACTACTTCAGGCCCCACGCAGAAGCCAGATTCTGAAGCATCATTGCATCTCACCTCCTATTAAGTTGAGAAAGCTGCCTTCGGATCAGATATCTGAGCTTTGTGACGATCCTGCCTGACAAACATAGAATCCAGCAATCAGAAATGCTGAAGGCTAGGATGTTGCACCCCTTATTTTTACCCAGGCTTGCTGGGCGCCTGCTCCCTCAGCCTTGCAGGACCTGCTAAAGGGTGAAACATGTCTGTAGGTCAATTGATGATCCACTAGGGAGTGTCCCCAGAGAAAAGAAAGGGCCCTGAGGGCCCCCCTGTTGGCCTTTCCTGCCCCAGCCCAGTGAAAGGAACACAGTTGACATGTTGTTTAAGCTGGAGATGTTGCCTGTATGCGTAAAAGAGCTCTCTGTTTCAGGCTCATGTACAGTCAGGAATGGTTCCTTCTCATCCAACTGCCCATGCGCCAATGATGCTAATGACGACACAGCCACCCGGCGGTCCCCAGGCCGCCCTCGCTCAAAGTGCACTACAGCCCATTCCAGTCTCGACAACAGCGCATTTCCCCTATATGACGCACCCTTCAGGTGAGGCGTGTGTGTGCAGGGGCCGCCGGGCACCCCAAAGCATTCTGCTCGCACAGGTTGAATGGCAGGCAGGGCCAGCGCTTCAAGCCCCGCATTTGAGACCTAGCAAGACCCGTCAGAGTGTGCACAGTAGGGACTGTGATGATCAGTTCAGTGTCAGGGCCTGAGGCTTCCAGGAGCCGAGTCTGTGTGTTCTGATGGTATACAGGATTTGACTTGATGGGAAGCAGCAGCATTCTGTGTGGCTGATGCATGCTTAGGACTCAGTTGGCCTTCCTTGTTACAGTAGGCTGGACAGGCAGCGTTTTCCTTCCTTAGTCCCCGCCCCGCGCCCCCCTGCCCCGCCCCCAGTCTGACGGGGGTGGTTACCACCATGGCAGAGTTTGACTGTAGCTCTGGAGAAGACTACTGATGAGAAAGTGTGCTGTGCGTGGATTGGTCTTGAGTGTAGCCTTAGCTCCAGCCATTGCCCCGACAGGAAGAGAAGTCCCCGCGATTGTGCTCTCACACGTGATGGCTGCCATGGCGGTAGTTCACAGTCTGACCTGTTATCTGAAAGCAGTACTGGTGCTTGGCTGGTATCTGGGGAGGGGGTATGTTAAGGCCTTTTTTCCTGCCCCATGAGCAACAAGTCTTCTGGGAGTTTTATCTGAAGTGGTTTTACATCTGACTGGTTTGTTTCTACCCACCCACCTACCCCTCCCCCTTTTGGTGCAGATGGGAGGGGGAAGAGTGAACTAAATTTTGAGTCTGCTCAGCTAGCACAAGGGTAGTTTACAGTCATGTGCTGCAGAGACACTAGGCTAATGTGCGGTGTTGCCAGTTTTCTGTTTAAATATCCACTTTTCTTTCTTACAGTACAAGCCCACCACCAACAGCAGTTGTAAGGCTGCCCTGGAGGAACCGAAAGGCCAAATTCCCTCCTCCCTTCTACTGCTTCTACCAACTGGAAGCACAGAAAACTAGAATTTCATTTATTTTGTTTTTTAAAAATATATGTTGATTTCTTGTAACATCCAATAGGAATGCTAACAGTTCACTTGCAGTGGAAGATATTTGGACCGAGTAGAGGCATTTAGGAACTTGTGGGCTGTTCCATAATTCCATATGCTGTTTCAGAGCCCCGCAAGTACCCCAGCTCTGCTTGCTGAAACTGGAAGTTATTTATTTTTTAATGACCCTCGAAAGTCATGAACACATCAGCTAGCAAAAGAAGTAACAAGAGTGATTCTTGCTGCTATTACTGCTAAAAAAAAAAAAAAAAAAAAAAATCAAGACTTGGAACGCCCTTTTACTAAACTTGACAAAGGTTCAGTAAATTCTTACCGTCAAAATGACGGGTTATTATTTATAAATCAAGTTTGATGGAGTGATCACTGTCTACAGTGGTTCAACTTTTAAGTTAAGGGAAAAACTTTTACTTTGTAGATAATATAAAATAAAAACTTAAAAAAAATTAAAAAATAAAAAAAGTTTTAAAAACTGATATCAAGTTAGTCTGTGTTTGTATAAGCTTGAGATATTTCTGTTATAGGATACTTCGTATCAAGGCAGGAGGGCTGAGTGTGCTTTCTTAAACATCCTGGAAAGTTAGTTGTCAAATGACTTTTCTTCTTCACCTTTAGTTCTGGTTCAAGGTATCTCTAGAAAAAGACAAGACTGAGACATTCTCTTTGGTGGATAAAGGTCCGCTCCAGAAGGAGGAAGGCTGGCCAGAGCTGGGCAGCACTGAGATCCCACATCCTCAGCCTGACGCTGGTTCTGTAAGCTTCCTTTTTAATATCTCCTGAACCCAGATGAGTGTTGTTAGTCAGAAGTTGTCCTGATTCACACACCTGTTTTACCAGTAGGGGGCAGGAGACACCTTTTAAAAAGAAACTGATAAATCCAGAGGGCTGAAAAGCTAAAACAATGCAGCGATGTACAAAGTAGCTTATTGCCGTAGACTCAGCATTGCTCATGTTCCCCCTTTGTGGGGGGACAGAGGGAAAAGCAAGTAATTGAGCAGAGCAAGGATTTTGCAGAGACCATAGTCCTGTAATGATAGAGCCTTTAAATATTGCAGCAACAAGTCAAGATTCTGAAAACTTTTTTTTTAATTCGTGTAGCAATTTGTACATTATAGCAAAATTTGCATTATTCAAGAATAAGTTACTTGTACAGTACATAAACAATACATAAAAATTTGCCAAATACCTTCTGCCTATAATGATATAGAATGGATCCATTTACACTGTCATCATTACAGTGTGCTGCTTTTTCCAGCCAAACACTGGGTGTCAGATGTGTCCTTGTTAAGAGGCAGTGGATAATATACTATCAAGTTCCTCAAGCCTGTGGGAGATGTTAGAGCTCACATGACATTTGCGATAGGAGACACAGCCCTGAATTAAAAGCATGAAGGAATCTCAGGCAACACTTAGGGAAGAGTTCAAGGCCTTGATTTTAGGTTAAGAAACTGTTATGTAAAAATAGTGTTCTCTGGCCTAAGATTTTAATGATTGCTATTCCTTTTTCCTACACGGTCCAGAAATGATCAAAGGCAGAAGATTTATACCAGATAAAGCCATATGGATTGCTGGTCTAAAATTCAAGGCAGGTTAGTTGACTTAATTCTTTGGTGCTGGTGACTGTTAGTTTGTAAAAGTTCATTCAAGACAGAAGGAAGTGATGGTGCTGGGAGCAGTCAAGCTATCCTTGTTGTCTGTCACTAGAGATAACTGGAGGGATCATAGTGCTTACTATCCATTTGGCACTCAGAGCCTGGCCTCTCAGTGGAGGCTGTTGGCTTGGCTTCTTGCTGTCAGCAGCGGCCACACTGGGGTCAGGAGGGTGGTGTGGGGTATGCTGTGACCGTGCGTGATGAGCTTTCTCTAAGAGAAATCCAGAACAGTGCTTACTTCTCTGGTTCACACTTCACTTAGCATTCATTACGTAGAGAAACCTGATTGATGTGTAGAAAAATGAAGGAAAGAAGTGTCCTTAGAAAAAGACCACAAATCTGGATCGGATCTGCTTTACAATCTATGAAAACACCCAGGAGCATTGGTTTTTAAAGTGGTGAAGAGGTGACTGCTTGCCCCCTCCACCTTCCCCCCCCCCCCAAAAAAAACCCCAGAAAATTCTAGAAGCAAAAGTCTGACCTCTGGGAATACAGAGAATGGCTGGAGGGTGCAAACCAAACCCTCACCCCAGATAAGGCAGGCAGTAGTTAGTTTTAGGCCAGGGTTTAAAGTTAGCCTGATTGATGTATCTATAAATGATAAACTGTGCTAAACTCCCAGTTTCCTAGAAGCCACTTTGGTGAGCCTGGTGGCTCTACTGAAAGGCTCTGCTGGCACCCAGGAGCAGCTGGCTCCACTCTCTCACTGCCCCCCTTGTTTCGGAGCCTCTGCAGGAAAGTTCTGGGAGGAGCCAGCTCCCCTGTGAATTGTATTACTGGTGAAAGGCAAGTACAGATGGAGATTTGACTGCAGGATCCCTGGCCGGTGGAGACGATGTGTGCCCGTGCGCTCACATTCCTCACCAAGTGAAGCAGTAAGCAGCTGGAACAGAACACTGATTGATTGTGGGCTGTTAAAGGAGTTTCTCATTAGCTGTGGCACCAGATTCCTAGCTCCTATCTTGGCTCAAGAATGAGCCTAAAACCTTGTGGGATAGTTTATAAGCCATTAGATGCCCCCGCGGCGGGGGGCGGGGGAGGTGCTCTGAGCCAGCCCTGTTGGTGAAGGATTTACCAGAAGAAAGGGCCCAGGAGCCCTTCCTCCTTTTTGCTTGTCCCTCCCTCACCCCTTAAACTAATTTAACTCTCACCAGAAAGCGGCTATAAACCAGAATCCAGTTTTTTATTCATAAGGCACCAGGGTAGAACTATTCCTTGCCACCCTCCTATTTCAGTAATTGCCTGAATTTCCCTGAAAGGGTGACATACTTCACTTCTCTACATTTAGGAAGGACAGTGGCTACTCAGCAGGTGACTGTCCTGAGGATGAAAAAAACATGGAAGCCAGGCATGCTGGCTTAGACCCGGAACTAGTCAAGTAGGGTTTGCATAGCTATTAAAGAGTGCAATGAAATAAGCAATAATTGAGTTTCAAAACCTGAATCCTTTGAAAAATTAATCTGAGGTAAAATGTTTAAAACAATTTTTAACTTTGAGCTTTGTCCTAAAGCTGTGAGGCAAAGCAGGAGGGCGGCGTGGGTGCCGGCAGACCTGCCGCGTGGACTGGCAAACCATATGAGAATCCAGGGCTTGTTAGTGTTTTGGGCTTCCTGATGACCCCCCCCGCCCCCGAAAGTCTGCCATCAGCTGTGACAGTGTCAGTGAGAAAGAGAACCCAGGTTCCGCCACCAGCTCTGGCCCTCACCCACCACGTCCTGTAAGAGGGATGGGGACCGGTCCTGGGGACTCGGGGCGAGAATTAGTGGCATCTGCGAACAAGAACTACATCTGTAAACAATAAGGAGAAAGCCAATTGATGGACTGATGAAACATATAGGAGGCCCTTTAACAGGCCTATTAGAAGGGTCACATCCAAACTGGAATGAGCAGTTAGCAGTGTCCCTTAAATCTCTCTCTGGAAGGAAGGAAAGAAAGTTACATTCACAAGTTCACATCTCTGCTTGCTTGTGTTCCTTGGGGGCATGTGTGAGGCCTGGGATTCCTCACTGCCCATCAGAGAGGTGTGTACTGATTGTCTATAGCCCGTAGATGGCTCCGGGAGGAGGAGTCCATTTCGTAGTCTGAGTCCCGGGCTCGACTGGCAGGTTCAGGCTCCAGGTGCCGCAGGCTGTTGGCCAGTTCCTCGGGCGAAGGCACCAGGTGGAATATCTGCTCTGGGGGAGAGGATCGGCCGGGGAGACCCTCTGGGCCAAGCCCCCGCGGACAGCCAGAAGAGCTAAGGTGGGGAAGGCCCAGCTCCGAATCCCAGTGAGCGAGGGAGAAGGGGAACAGGACAGTGTTGGAGGAACCTGGGGGACAAGTGACCGAGAGAGAGACCGACATGGTCAGTCTTAATGTGACAGGGGGCGGATGTTGGAAGAACACAAAAACAGATCTCTGTGCCCCTGGGTTTGCAGCAGGCTTTTACCCTCTACCTGGTTCCCTGTGCCACCCACCCCCTTTACCAAGGGTCACACCTGGTGGCTGGGAGACCACTACCACGTAGCTGGACAAGCGGACGTCACAGGCAGCACCGCACTCGAGCGGGATGGGGGAGCGCTGGAAGTGGCGTAGCATGTCCACGACGGAGGGGAAGTGGAGATGCTGCACTCTGCACTGGCCCCGCTCGGTCAGCGACAGGCGCAGGTGCTACAGGAGGAGAGGAGGCTCAGCCACTGGCCACTGAGGGCCTTGAACTTGGGGTTGTGGGGGGGGGGTCCAGCCCCACCTACCATGCCCTGTACCTTGGCTATGCCTTGGAAGTTGAATGTGAGCACATACTCTCCACGCCGTGTCTCACTCTGCCGTACCAGGAACACTCCGTGAGCGTCAGGACCCTGCAGCTGAACCAGCTGGGCTGCCTTCACCCGGGAGATGGGGCCATGGAACCAGGGGTAGCAGGACAGGAAGTGATCTGTTTTCTGACAGGCGGGGTCCAGCAACCCCCCAGGAGAAGCACCTGGTAGACAAGATCAGTGGTGGTGACCCCCCTGTGGGTACCTTACGTCCTGGGCTGAAGCTGGTTCTGCCTTACACAGAGGACAGAGCCCTGGACCCACTCACCTTGGTTCAGGGAATCTGTGCTTCCCCTCGGAGAGTTGGATGTGCCAGGCTCTAGGGCTGAGGGAATAGGTCTCTCTGGGTCTGTGCTCTCCAACCTGCTGAAGAGGCTGAGGTTAGGATCTGGGTAGAGCAGGGGAGTAGGAAAAGCTGGGCCAGGAGTGGGGCCCTATGGTCTGGGGCCTCACCCTTGGCCTGTGCACTCCCGGAGCTCAGCCATCCAGGAGTTCAGCTGCTGCTCGTCCCCCACCTCGAAGATGATGTCCGTCCGGTCCTTCACCTAGCAGGGAGGGAGGGAGTGGGCTATGTGCGTGCCTTGGCTGTGTGGGTGTGACCCCCCGGGGGGAGAAGCTGTCACTCACCTTCAGGACAAAGGTGTAGAGGTTGTCTGGCATCTCGAGGCGTGTGCATCGCCGGACCTCCTGGATATTGGAGCAGGCTGCTTGTAGCTTGGGCTTTGAACTCTAGGAGACCAAGGGGGGCACTTGCGGCTTGTCCCTCATGGCCCTTCACCCACCCAGGCCTCTCTTTTTCTGCAGTCTCCCCAAGGGCTTAGCTGGGTGAGTGAGTGCTCATGGTGCTGCCAAGCAGGCTCCCCAAGCCTGGAACAAGGTCTGGCATTCTGGCTTGCCAGAGCCTTGCCGAGGGCCCTTGTCCTGTAGCCTCTAAGCACCATTCCCACCCCCCACACACTGAGATCCTCCAAAACCTATGTTAGCTGAGGGCCAACCCCTCTTTACTGAACCTGTCTCTGACAGGTTTTTGCCTGCTGACATCTGTTTCTCCTTCCACTGGTGGAGCAAAGAGGCCCCCCACGCCGCCCAACCCAGCCAGGTCACACGGCTGCTGACCCCCTCATCAAAAGAAGCCTGGAGAGGACTTGAGGGTATCCAACCCAAGTCACGTTTCCCTCTGTGGCGCTGACTGTGCCAGGGGGCCCAGGCCTTTGTCCTACCTTTAGTTTCTACCCCACCCCCCATCAGTTCCTCATTAGCGCAGGCCTCTCCTGACCTAACATCAGCTGTAGGAAACAGATACTCTCACCACATCTCAAAGAGATGAAAGTCAAATTTTGGAGGTGAAGTCCTTTGCCTGAGGGAGGGTAGATGAGGTTTTTCCCTCTGACCACAGTATATACAGCCTAGAACCTCAAACTGCCACACCTAACTTCAAGTCTGAGGGTAAGGAGGGGTGGATTTGGCTGCAGGGGGGAGGTTGGCAGAGTAGCTTAGCCACAGGCTCTTGGGGCTTCTGCCAACATCCCTAAAGGGACAAGCCCTGGTATGGCTGGCCCCAGTCAGAACCAGCTGGAAGCCTACACAAAACCTTGGACCCAGGAGTCTCCTGTGACATCCAACATACACGAGGTTCAGAGTGCATGGGAAGTGGTCCCCTGCCCCTTTGCCAGCAAGGGCTCCTCTCCTGGGTCCTGACTGAACCTGGCTAAAGCAGGGGCTGACCTTGCAGATGCCTGTTCCTGAAGAGCAGGAAGCTCTGGGGCACCCTATAACACAGGAGCCAGCAGCTCGAGGGCAGCAGTTTCTCAGAAAGGAGGTCTCCCTTCTACTGCCCACCCCCATCTCCTCCTCTTCCTCTTGTGATAAGGGTGATAAGATTGTTTCTCCCGGGGTCATGAGATAATCAAGGGCTGCTTCCAGCAGGGGCCAGAAGCAGGTAAGAACGGCAGGAGCCAGAGATGATGGGGGAATGAACAGGGAGGCTCAACTGGGCCCCATCTCTCTAGTACCTCTCTCTTCCCAAGGACCAGGAGACAGGCCCACCTGGGAAGGACCAGCCCGACCAAGCCAACATAGGGCAGGGGCAGAGGGATGGAAACAAGGCAGGCCCAAAGGCTAGTTCCTGGCACTGCGGCTTTGGGGGAATCTGACCTCCACATCTTGGGCAGAAGCTACCTTTTCAAGAAGTGGTACAAGAGCCCATCCCCAAAGCCACGTGTGTAACTGCTAGGGACACGCAGGCACCAGGTGTCTCTGATAGAAGGATGGTGACCCTAGGGCCGGGCCACCTGCCTTCAGCTACTCCCCACCTGCAGGAGGGCTGGTGAACAGGGAGGGAAGGGGCAGCCTGGCAGGAGAGGGTCGGCCAAACTGGGGGCTCTTTCCAGTCCAGGCTCCCCCTGCCCCCAGCAGTCCAGAGGGAATAACAACTCCAGGAACCCCTGACGTTTGCCGTGGTGGACTGCCTCATCTCACTAACGCGGTAGAGGAGGGAGCAAGCTCAGAGAGGTGGCCAGTCCGTTCCAGCTCTTAAGTGACCACCAGCCAGGGGGTTTTATCTTTCAGGTTTGTCTTATGTGTCCCCCATATCCCAGCTTCTTAGCCTGGGAGCCCGTGAGATGTGGGGCGCAGGACTGAATGACATGGGCCCTGGGTGTGCTGGAGTGCGCGTGGCTCAGCTCTCAGAGCCCGTTGCCCTTCTGCAAAATGGATAAGGTACGTGGGCCGTTTCCTTCCTTCTCCTGCTTTTGCAGTTGGCGCTGCCTGGCCCCCAAGTCTCCCCACTGGCTCTGGGCCCTCAGGATCACTGGGAGGAAGTAGGCCAGGCCAAGAGGGAACAGAACAAGTCTCCCTTTCCTCCCTTTCCGCTCTGGGCCCTGGCCCCAGGGTGAATGCTGAGACGAACGAGCAGAGCAGAGCAGAGCCACCGGCTTCACTCTGACTGCGGGGCCTCCCTGCCTGTGCTCTCCCCAGCAGCTGAGGGACTGCTGGCCCAGCAGGCGGTGGTGAAGAGGCTTCCCCTCTCCCCCCTCGGCCACCCCGGCTGCACGGGTGCTGCCTCCCTTCTGCCCTCCTGGCTAAGCGGACACAGGTTCTAGCTGACTCCTCTCAGGCAGCTGCCCCAGCCAGCCCAGTCGTCTCCCCCCGTTGCTGCCCAGCTAGGGGCACAGCCGGGATCTGAACCCCAGAGCTGGTGTGACCAACTACTGTGCTGATGGTGGAGAGAGGCCAGAGGTTCTGCCCAGACTGGAGGGGCGAGTGAGCACATGCGGCAGGATAAACCCTGCCTGTGGCCACAGCCCTAGCTGGATGGTCCAGAGCAGGACTCGAGAGCAATGGTCACATGTGGAAGGACCAATGCATGCCTTCCTGGTTGAGCAATGTAGTGGGACAGAACTGGGATGGAGAGCTGAGCCCAAACTCTGGGGCTGGATCAGCAGCTATAAGAACATTAGGGAACTCCAGGTTCCCCTCTCTAGCATGCTCTCTATCCCACCTGCTCTCTGGACCCACCTCAGAGTCACACCTGAGTGACTGAAATGGCCAAAGCACTCCAGATAATGTGGTGTAAGCAAGTAGCATGTCACTCACTATATCCCCTCCTGGGAAGCAAGTTTCGGCGCCCAGCATCCACAAAGCTAGCTGCCTTCCTATGGCCGCTGTGACTCCAGGGGGAATAACCTATTTCTTCCTTTGCCCTAGCTGCTAGGAAGGTCAAAGGCAAAGATGCAGATCAGCTCTGACACTGTCTCCCCCCCCCCCCCCCAGTAGGGCTTGCATTTCTATACCTGACTATAGGCTCTATACTTCTCTTATCCCTCTAGATGTTAGTGTTCAGTCTTGTCTCTGCCACTTCCTCTATAACCCTGGCCAAGTGCCTCAGTCCTCCGTCAGTGCTGTCATCTATAAAGCAGAGATATTTAATAGTCGCTCTCTCCTTGCATGGGTGCTATGGTGACTGGGTGAACTACTGCAAGTGGGGAAAAAAAAAAAGCGGCCTGACAAACAGCTGTTGTTAAATTTCTAGGCTGGGGTGAGGCCAGCCAAGTTGGGTAAAGCCTGGGGTCCACTGTGGTTACAGTACAGCTTCCCCTCCAAATGGCCCAGGGACTGGACACACACGTGTCTTCTTTCAGCCCATCCTGCAGTGAAATCCACATGTCGTCTAACCTACCTATATATGTGCCCTAATGAAAGTAAGGGAAAAACAACAGAATGTAGTTTATATTAAGTTGTATTTCAGGGGCACCTGGGTGGCTCAGTCAGTTAAGCATCTTCTGCCTTCGGCTTAGGTCACGATCACGATCCCCGGGTCCTGGGATCCAGCCCCGAATTGGGCTCCCTGTTCAGCAGGGAGTCTGCTTCTCCCTCTCCTCCTCCCTGCTCTGCTCGTGCTCACTCACTAATAAATAAAAATCTTTTTTTACAAATGTATTTCAACGTGACTATGCAGATGACACAATGAACCACTCAGGTGCTTCTGAGTTTGTTTTAAAAGATCGAGAACATAAAGGAGCCAGAGAGCAGGGTAAGCCCTAAGAGAACAATTAGTCTTTTCAGTGGACATTAAAACTGGGCAGAAAGTTCCATGTGTTTCTGTAAGACTGTACTATTCTGGCTCTAGGTTTGTCATCTCTTTTAGAGGGTGGCATGGACATCTCTGCCTCAACCTATGGGTTTACCTGGGCCTCCCCGACCCCCACTGACCCACAGGTCCCCTTGCCCCCACTGGTGGGGCTTTGGGCTTCAAATCTGCCTAGGGGGATGGAGTCTGACAACTGGAACCAGACCTCTCTCAGTCTTGTTTTTCCTCATGCTGTCACCTAGAAATTGTCCCATGACCTGCTGCTGTTCCCCATGTGCTAAGTTAGAGCAGGGCCACAAGCATGGGCTGAGGGCAGGGATGGCCCTTCCAGAGTCTCCCAAGGTAACAGGCTATATCCTACTTCGCCATGTCCTCACAAGCACCTTGAATGGGGCCTATCACCATTCGTTCCTTCAAGACCCCAGCAGAGGGACTAGCCAAGCCCTCCCGGAACTCCAGGTGCCAGTGCCCCAGCGGAAACAAGATACACAGTCCCGGACTCACGTACAGTCTCCATTGTAACGAGGGAGACAGATGCCCGACAGGAAGGAGACAGGAAGGACCCAGACAGGACCCAGCCAGGCAGGTGGGGGAAGCTGTGAAGGGCCACAGAAACAATGTGGGCTCACCTCAGCTATGAGGAGAGCATAGCTGAGCTTCCCAGGCACCAGGATGGCCCTTGCAAAGGCGCTGAGGTGGGAAAGCACATGAGCACCTGAGGAGGCTGATGGGACTCCTGTACCCAGCGAGGGGGTTACAGTAGGGCGCCGGAAGTCCCCGTGTGGTCCTGAGGCTGTGGGGTCAGTTTGGGCTTGTTCTAAGGCAGAGATGTGGAAAGGGCACCTGATGTACACTTCAGAAGCTCCAGGGAGCTTATGCTAAATACCTCGACAGCAGCATTCCTGCTAGTCGGGCCAGACCAGCACTTAATTCACACCCAAGTAGCGAAGGGCCTGGCACAGAGGGCCAGTGGTGTGGGCAGGGCAGGCCCTCACAATGGCCTTACTCCATCCACGGCATCCCACCTGGCCACTGGAGAAGCCCTTATCCAGTGAAAGCCTCGAGGAGCGGCGTCTCACTATCTGGAATCCCCCAGACCCCAGCAGCCCCCCTGGCAGTCTTGTCTCTCCCAGGGCTTTGG